TTATTATGTCTTAAGAATAAGAATATTTTATACTGAAATGAGATGAATATTGATCAAGCATTTTGAGTGTGGACTGTTTTCTATCGAAGAGTGTGGTTTATTAAATTGGAAATAATTTTTCTTTTGATATTGGGTTTTCATGTTCTTGGTTGGCTGGATAAATTAACCCACTCCTCAGGGGTATACTGAGGGTATTGATAGTAGTCCCGGGATCTATTTATCATGGAGTGTGATGTGGAGTGTGATGCTATATTTGGAGTGTGATGCAGCCTAAAGAACTTGAAATTTTTGTTTCTTTTCATCTAGTTTGGAATGTGGTTTCCTTATTGAAAAGTTGTTTACTTTATTTAATTATTATTTCATTGAAATACAATGCTTGATCAAACGAGATGGGTATACTCTTACTGAGCTGTCTAGCTTATGCTTTTAAAATCTCATCTCATTTCAGGTACAGATGAGTAAGCATTTGGGGTTGCATTTGGGAGTGAGAGGCACAACGATTCTAGAGTAGTTCTTTGGTTTAGTTTAAGTTATTTTGGATTGTGGAATAATTAGAATTGAAGATCCAATTGCTATGACTTATTGCTATTAAATTTTATGTTGGATTTTATGAAGTGAGGATTAAGTGTTTTGGATTTGAAAAACTTCTCGTACATGTTAATAAAGATGGAGTTTCCTATAGAATTTAATTTTATTGCACTTGGACACTAAAAGTTGTTTAGTTAGGGTAGCCTTACACATTTATGGGGTCATCCCTATAGATGTGTGGCGTTTGTTACATCTTGACCTTGGGGTTGGGACGTGACAGGTTTGGTACTTAAAAACTGGTGCGGAACTTTCGAAACTTCTGCTTTGTATGTAGGGATATTAACGGGATCTCGCGGGGTTGGGGAGTCTTTCCTCGTCCCCGTTCATGTGAATAGGGGGGACGACGATCCCCACGGAAATTTTTAATTAGGGATAGATTTTACCCCTCATCCCCATTTACTGCGAGAATCCTCGTTCCCGATCAATTAATATAAAAAA